CATCGTGGGTGGAGGCTCCCACATTGCAGTAGCCGTTTGTGGGGTCCTGGAGAGAAAAACAAAGAAAGAGCAAAAAAAAAAAACAGTGGGTATTAAAATGTATCATGAGGGTTGTGATGAAAATAATGTTTTATATGCCAGTGTATAAATTCTGAGGTCAAATGTCTCATAAAAAGTAAGAGGACAGGGTGACTCTTTTCTGGAGCTGGTCAGAATCCAGGTACAGATTCATTAAGAGTGTGATGGTTGCTCCTTTTTGGAAATATATGCAAAACAAGTTCTGGAGCAAATAGGCCCTGAAAAATGACAATGGCGCTAACTGTGTGAGCAATTATTTATCTCTAGCACCTGTCATGACCTCAAATAAATACTCTTTGAGCGCAATAATAAGGCTTGGATAAAGGTCACAGAAGTTATGATGTGAAAAAAAAAAGTTCTGCTGGATCTTAATTTATCCTACTAATTTATAGTACAGTGGTTTGCTTTGTCACCTCACAGCAAGAAGGGTCTGGGTTTGAACCTCCACCTTTCTGTGTGGAGTTTGCATGTTCTCCCGGTGCCTGTGAGGGTTTCCTATGGGGCATCTGCCTTCCTCCTGCAAGTCCTGAGACATGCAGGTCAGGGTGACTGGCAACTCTAATGTGTCCATAGTTGTGAATGATAATGATGATGATGATAATAATAATAATAAGGTCTAGACCTTTTTTCAAACATATACCAACCTCACATTTCCGGTGTGAACATCCTCAAAACCTGCTTTGAAATGTTAAATTATGTAGTGTGGACTTGGGTCACATGTTTCATTTTTGACCATATTAACAAAACCCTGAACTCTAACATGCCAGCATGCAGGGGTTGACCCCAGGGTGTGTGGGTGACTAAAAGATGATCTCCCTGCTCACGTCCCCTTCTGCTGAATGCTCTCATGTTGCTATACTGCTGTTTCTGAAATGACTCTGCCATCTCAATGTCTTTTACATACTCAGACCTCAACCCCCACCAAACTTTGTTTTACTGCTTTGTTGCTTCAGGCAGAGTGGAATTAAAAAAACAAAAAACAAAACAAAAGTCTGGCAGAGGCTGTTGTCGGGTGATCTAACCACCTCCTGGGTTGGACTCATGTCTGTTTCTTCAAAGTGATCCAAGGCAGAACTACAGCTAGAGGGTGGTGTGTACAAAATATTCATGGGGGGTTCTGCTGAACATTTTGGCAGCTTTACGCCTGAAAATATATTAATCACCTTAGCCCAACCCCACGGTGTCAACATGTATAAATGATTCATGCCAGCTAAATGAGCAGAATATGTATGAATTTCCTTTGTTCTTTATAAGTTTTCTTTTCAAGTTCTTGCTTTTTTCTTAAATTTTGTCTGTACATATCTTCAAAATGAGTGAGCCAACTAGCTGCCTCACAGTTGGACTGAAAGTAAAGTCCAGAGAAAAACCAAAGGAGCTTGGGCAGTTAGAAAAAAGCTGACTTCACTGCAACATACTTGGTTTAAAATGCTCTGCACAACTATTCTCACCGATACTGAGTGCAATACTAAGTTTAAAGGTCTCCAACAAACAGACCACCAACACATGAGGTAGTACACATCTCTGCTCAAAACACGCTGAACTCGTAGTTAACTGTTTCTGCTGATTAGTTCAAATGGAAAAACTGGCTTAAAATCAGAACAATCATTAGATTTATGTCTTATTCCCTTGTGGTCACAGCCAACAAAATATTACCCAGAGAAAACAAAGCAGTCAACAAAGTGTTAACAACAATCTAACATACTGTAGAATGAAGAAAACTAAAGAACAAAAAGCAAGTCTCAGACAGCTGAACTGAGAGGGATTTTTGTACTGATACAGAGGAAGGATTGTTGAAGTCACATATTTGTTGAAGTCAC